CCGCCTTAATCGAGCCAACGAGGGGCTTTTTCTGCTCAAAGGTTTGGGGATTTTGTGTTCCTGACGCCATGCCAGCGGTTACAAAGGCGTTTCAGCGCGGAGAGCAGTCGGTTGGTCCCAGTCGATCCGGTTGTTAACTGCCGAAGGCGGCGGTTCTGAACCTCGACTGCAGCCTGCGCCCAATGCGGCTCTTGAAATCGGTTCTAAAGGCAACCCCTGGTCAAAAAGCGCTGAAGAAATTTTTGTTTCTAATGGTTTACCGTGTAAAAAAAAAAAGCACTTCTCGTACCTGGACCCCCGGTTAGGAATGAAGGGTTCTGTTGTGACACGGGGCTGGAGCAAAAACCAGGAGTGTGGATCTCCAGCCCCCGGACTGGGAGCCCTTGCTGTAGGTCACAGCAGTCTGACCTGTAACCCCAAATTCTGATCAAGCGCTCTACGGCAGTCTGCGTTCAGGCCTGACTGTCGAGGCCAGAAATGGGCAGCCCCTGATCTAGCCAGCTTCCATCCATCCGTTTGTCTAACCGCGATCCTGAAATGGGGGAGCCAGCAAGTCTACCCCTAGGTAGGGTACACACTGGATGGGACGCCAGTCCACCACAGGCACAGACACGGGCACGCGCACTCGCAGCAGGGCCAGTTTTCCGTGGCAGACAATTAATCTACCAGCATAGCTTTTGACTGTGTGTGTCTGGGGGCGGGGACAGAACATGCAAACTCCACACAGACAGCCCCCCCCAGCTCCAGAATGGAATCCAGGACTCCAGCTGCGCGAGGCGGCAGTTGTGCTGACCGCTGTGCTAAGTGAACCCCAGTGATTCATAGTTCGGCGTAGCCTTGTTTATGCTCACGGCAGCTTCATTTTTTGTTTTTATTTTGGGGCTTCTGGGGAAAGGGATCTCTGCTGTGACAGGCTCGGCCGTTCCGCCTCAAGGCCCAACAAGAACCTTCCCCCCCGTCATCACGTTTGTAACAAGAGTGGGGGAGGGAGGGGGGTTGTTGTTGGGCCTCAAGGTGGAACGGCTGAGCCCGTCACAGCAGCGATTGCCTTTTTCCAGAAGGAAGCGCGCGCAGTTTTGCCCCGGGAGTTTCCAGAGACGTTAGTGACGAAGCCAGACAGCCAGCCAGGATGACGGCATTTTCCAATTTTGGCAAATTCCCCCCCCCCCCCCC